CTTCAGAGAGACTGTGGCACCACCAGTATTAGGGGGAAACACAGAGAACACAGAACCTCAAATGGGGTTCAAGGAAAGAATGGTGAAACCTCTGTGTGCAGAGGAGAAATGGCTCCAAGATATTCCTCCATTCTGAGGTTTCCTCAGTTACAGACGAGCTGGTAGCCAAGGCAACCCTGCAGCCGTGCGAGCTGGCACACGGTGCACAGCAAGACCTGCTCTCTATGCCTGGCAAGGCAGAGGCTCACCAGGAACGGCCACTCAGAGGCCTGGAGACATGAGGAACACCTATCTTCCCCTTCCTGGGATGAGCACCTCCCAGCACGCCCCTCTCACCTCTACCCAGATGAAGATTTTGGTTTCACTGCTGCTTTAGGGCAGAGAGTTGATCACACTTCTGCTTTCATGCCTGAAGCCCAGCAGAACTAGGGCATCATCTACAAATCTCCAAAGTATTTTCAAACCCTAACAACTGTCCCTTCAAGTGTGATATGGTAACAGACGTTCCTAGCATCACCCCACCTGGGGCAGTAATTGCTTTCCCTGCCCAAGGAGAGGTAGAAAAATGCATTGAGAAGCACACTCTAAGGTCACAACCCACAGAAGCGGTGCCTCCTGCTCTCCATGGCTCTCAGGAGGGGGTGCTACAAAGCCGATCAGCTTGCACAGGTCCACAGAGGTAAGAGAGGACGGCACGGAAGCATTTGGAGGCTTTCAAGAGGACCTTAAACTTGTTCTCCTGAAAGTCCAGCTGACAGACCAGCGCTGCCCTGGCACACTGCAAATGGCTCAGGAGAAGATGCTGATGTCTCCTTAGCTCTCTGCAGCTCAATCGGCGCGCTAGTCTGTTCAATTGGACAGAATAGTGGCTCTCTGGAACAGGAAGAAAACTGTTTCTGTCATATACTATTTCTATTAAAAGAAACTATTTCTTTCCAGTCAGGGTTTCCACTGCCTGTTATTACTAATCACTTGTGGAAAAAGGAAGGCAAAGAGGAAAAAGGCCCTAAAATTAAGCATGCAGTGTGAACTTTACATATAGGAGAGCACATGGAAAACTGAGTATACACAGAGAGCCTGATGTGGCGATCACAAGAGATTGCTCCAAGTCATGGGGTGGTCAAATTTCCCTGACAGAAACAGGAAAACGTGAGTAATTACAGCAGCAAATTTAAGAAACTATGTGGTCTTTCTAACTTGCTACTTAAAATAATAAATTTTTAGAAATCAAATAAGCCAAGTGTTTCTTCTGAGTGTTTCAAACTCAATTTTGCCACAAGGCACTGGAAACAAAGCAAAGCAACTTCCATTGCTGTCATCCCTCTCTGCTCCAATCCATGTGAAGCACTGGGGAGCAGATCTACGGCTCTTTCTGAAGAATGGAGCACAGGGCACACAAAGAGCTGCTAGAAAAGATGAGCTCAGACTTTGGAGAGGCGATGGGGCAGTTGCAACACAGGCAGCAGCTTTGTCACGAGAAAAGGAAGCAAACCGCAATGCTGCTAAACTGAAGTGAGATCTGGAGATAAAGCTGAGATAAAAAGACCAACCTGACTGAAAACCCCCCTGAAAGAAATGCACGCAGGCTGGTGCTCACTGTGCCTCGCAGGGCTGGTTTGGTTCCACTTTTACTATTTGAAAAACACGAGCACAGCAAAGCACTCCTCTGCATGTAGCAAAGCAGCACCAGCCTCTGCTGGGAGACTCAGTTCAAGCAGCTGTGCCACATGACCACAGCCTACACTTCTGTCAGCCCTAGCTGAACTAAAGAAAAGAAGGGGAAAAAAGCAACACAGGGGAAAAAAAGCAACACAGAGGATTCCACCTGAGCCGGCAACGTGCCCTGAGAGTCCTGGACAGGCCATGGTGACACCATGAGCAGATCAGGACACCAACCAACGAGTGGAAGTGGAACGAGCTGCAATGGCAGAGGTTTCCGCCGCAGCGCTGGGTCAGCTCGTGCCCCTCGGGAGCAGAGCTCCACGCGGAGTTCACAGCAGACCCGTCCAGCCGGGGAAGCCGAGCTCCGGCCGCACCCCACGCTCTCGGACAGAGACCTTTGCTTTATTGCGGTGCGGAGTTTAAAGGTTCCACTGTAAGAAGGCAGCACGGCTTCTACGGAAGCAGCGAGAGAGGGGTTCGGCTTTGGGGACCGAGCCCTCCCCAGGCGCACACCCCCGCCGCCCCTCACCTGCGGGCCGCGCCGCGGCGAAGATCAGCGCCCGGTACCGCTGGAAGGCCTCGTCCAGCACGGCGCAGCCCGGCCCCACGGCGGAGCCGGCGGCGTGCGCGAAGCGGAAGCGGGCGAGGGGCAGCGGGCAGCGGGCGGGGGCCGGCGGGGAGCGCCGCAGCTGCGGCTGCGGCCATAGCGCGGCCGCCGGACCCACCGTGGCCAGGAGCAGCAGCGCCCGCGCCGCTATGGCAACGGGTGCCATGTCCGTGCCGAGGGGAGGGCCGAGCAGCTGCGCCCGCCCCGCGGTGCGGCCTCAAGAGCGCGCCCGGCACGGGGGAACGGGGCTGAGGGCTGTAACGGGAAGCCGGTCGGCCTCCGGACCCGCCTGCCCCGGCGTCGTTCGAGGGACCGGCCCTCGGGTGGGAGGGATGGGGTTCGGCGTTGAGGGCAGCAGGGAGGTTTGGAGGAAGCTCAGCCCATATCCAGCAGCGCAGCCTTCCGCAACCACGTGGGGCACCGCGGGCTGCCCGTACGGCCGGGGGAGGCTGAACCAAAACGCAAGGATGGGCGCAAAGCAGGCGGCAGCGCCAGAGCCAGGAGGACAAAGCGTGGTGGTCTGCAGCGACTGCGTAAAAGTGAGGGGCCAGCTGAAGTCCGGTGCCAGCCTTGGGCAGCCTGGGAGCACATCCCCTGCAGCACAGCTCCAAAAGGAGGCGGTTCCCCAGGATGGAGCTCCTGGAGCGTGGGCTCATGAGCAAGGCCCAAACGGGGCTTACTGGGGGCACATCAGGGCAGCGGGTGCTCTGACAAGGGGTGCTGTGGCTTGCAGTGAATCCTTATTTCAGTTTGTGTTGGTTGGCTGTTCACCAGACTTACGTAAAACGTTGTGATCACAGCCTGCGGTGAAAATATTCCAGTCTTTCTGTGTACTCTGTTGCTGTTGCTATTTTAGGGGCCCCGATGTCTCTGGGGGATGACTCAGAGAAGTTCGTTCCTAGCTGGCCAGCGTTAATCCAGACTAACGGTCTGAGTCAGGAATGCATCTTTACATCAGAAAGCTGATGCCTGTTGCAGAGATACCTGCGGACACCCCGTGTTGGTTTGCAAGGGCTGTCCCGTTCCAGGCAGAGTGCAGCGACTGAGGGATGTGCAGAGGGCCGTGCTCTCCACCACGGCATGAGGTAAAGATAGAAATTGGTTACTCTGCTGTCAGTTGTGATAAAGCTGTCACGCTTTGGGTCTTTCTGGTTTGTCCACTTTTGTGGCCTTTGGGCTGTCAGTGGAGCTCTGTGTAACACTGCATTTTTTTATGGATAAAGCCATCTATTATTCCTCCCAATTCTCTGTAATACTGGCTGCATCTGCATTTAATCAGGTGCATGTTTTGCATACAGATTCCTCTGCTGGTGAGAAGCACGTGAGCCTGTGAAAGGGGAGCGGGGGAGGCTGCCTGTCCCATGGCTGCAGTCCATCCCAACACCTGCTGGATTCCTGCTGGATGTGAGCACGTGCCTGGATGTTCAGCAGGGCTGAGTCCGACCCGTGCTGCCCGCTATTAAATCTGGCTGCCTCACTTTCTGGGATCAGTTTGCTATGCGTGATTATGGAAACCTTCGCAGGGTGCTCCCAGGGCTTTCCTGTTTGTTTTGCTCTTTGAGCCAAGCGTTATCTAACACTCTTGTTCCTGAACGAAGCCAGCGCCCAGGTCAATGGGCCTGCTGCTGCTGTGGCTGGAAGAGGGCTCTGGAGAACACAGACCATCTTCTGCAACTGCCTGCAGATCTCTGACCTTAATGGTTGAGGACTCAGAAGCTTTCGAGGCCAACTTGCTTTCTCCACTTGGCTGTTCATCGATGTGTCCATCGATTTGCACCTTGACCACTGCAAGTCACGCTACGTGCTGCCACTGAATGGCTTGGCAGATTGCAGGTGGCAAATGAATTTCTCAGCACAGTTCAGCGGCCTTGCCAGGTGACAGAGCACATGCAACAGGAGCAAGTATGAGAGATTCAGTGCAGGAGTGAATCTCAGCTCCAGGTGCTTTGTGAATATTTCAACAAATATGATCTTAAAAGCAGAGTCTAAGGCAAAGTGCTTGAGGGCAAGATGTGTTAATCACTCTGAAGGATTTGGGTTCCTGACTAAGTGCCACAGAGCTCAGCCAGGTGGTATTTGCACTACCAGTATTATTTGCAAAGCCTTTTTGCTCTGGATTATCTCCAGCTTTTCGGTGGCTGAACAAACCTCTGTGATCTGAGGGGCATCTCAGCCCATGCTGATGGTGCAGGTCTTTAATGGGTGTGCAGGCAGCCAAAATCAGCCCCGAGGGAGGAGAGCAGAAGCTGGACATGGAGAAATCTCCTGGGTTTTCCTTTTTCCACTGCAGCATCTCCACAGGTCTCAGATGATGGAGTTGTTTTTTTTTCCCCAGGGATATCTGCTCAGCCCCACATGGGTCAGGGAGCAATGGAGCAGGAGGGAGGCAGGAGTACCAGCACTTTAGAAGCATTTTGGTACAGCAAACAGGGGCTCCGGGGTTGCTTGTGTCAGGGCCGTGGGGCTGCATAGGGGATCATTTAAACATTGGGCTCTGCATGGTGCTATCAGATCAAGGGAGACTGCAGTGAGTTACTGTGGAGGCTGAGTATTCGTGGCTGCTGTCCCTGGCTGCTCTCAGTCACATCTGTGGATCTAAGCAATCAGCTGAACTGGAGTCAGTCAAGCACCCATGGATGTGTGGGGAAGAGTTCCTCTGTCTGGAAATGAATGCAGGGAGGCCCTGCTCCTGTAAATCCCTTAAGCGTGTGCTGAACTTCGTGGAGCAAGGTGATTGCAATGCAGTATTTTACTTTTGTCAGCTTCAGTGTTAACAGTTAGTAGAATCACTTGTGTAATTAAGCTCTTGCAAGACTAAAATGAAAAAGCACCAGGTGCCTATGGAGATCTAAATCATTTTTCAGACCAAGTAGAACAGCAGTTTTCAACTTTCCTCGGTAGTTGGAGTCTTAAAATTCCCCGAGGCAGCACAGATCCCCTCATAATGAACTGAAGCAGCAGCCGTGCTTCTTGTGGGTACCATTCACAGACAGTACAAGGGGAAAGTGGGAACCCAGGGCTCCACAGTGACGATTGAGTCAGAAACTTTGTAACTTTTGCAAAAAGCAGGACTAAAATTTCATGCCAGTGAATGCTTTTTAAGAGGAACGTGTTAGTGTTTTAAATTTGTTTTGTTTTGGACAAAACAGACCAGTTTTGTCACTAACACAAACTGACACATGCAGCTCTGGGCACAACGAGCAAAATTATCAGTAATCAGCAAAGTGTTGATTGGTATTGTGCCAAGGAAGAAGGCTGGGACCAAAGGAGAACCACATTTGTGTGTTGGCATTCTTCACTGCACAGAGAAGATCCCATCACTGTTTATAAATGTTTGTCACTGGAACCTGTTGTAAAAAAGGAATCAATAGAGTTTGAAAGGCAATAATTGTCTGACATCAACCCCGTGCTGGGTAGGAGGAGGAAGGCAACAAGAGCGTGTGTGCTGCAGGTGTGGGGAGCTGCTGTGACTGACAGTTGTTGCCAAAAGGTGAAGTTTCATTAATGCCTGGAGATTAACTGGCACACTGTGAGCAGGAAGTCAACCTGCCTTCCTTGATATATCTATGTGCAAGAAAATGTAAAGGCATTTCTAAATGGCTCTGTTGTGTGATGCAGTGAGATTTGCCCTGTTCCCGATGTTCCGGTGGAAGGCGTCGTTCCCATTCAGGGTACGACAGTGACCGTACCTCGAAGAACTGCACGAAACAGAAGGGGCATAGGGCAGCGAGGAGGCTCCGACCTCTGCAGCGTCGGCAGGGGCCAGGAGAGGGCAGCGAGGAGGCACTCACAGCTCGGGGCACGCCGACACCCGCGGCGAGGATGCTCGGGTGGCTGCAGGGCTGCGCGCCCGGGCGCAGGGCCCTCCCTAGCAACAGGAGGAAAAAACAAATTATGACACCTGGGTAACCCCGTCCCGGAGAGAAAGGTCATCTCTGGCTACGGGTTGGATCCGCATCCAAGTGTGGCCCCGAGGAAGTTCCAAAGCTCTGGCAAAGCAAAATCCTACCACTCAAGCACCTTTCTCAGCTCCTTGGGGTTCATATACTTGCTTACATGTAGGCGAGGACTCATGTCACCAGCTGGATAGGACACTGAGCCCCTGGGGTGACAGTCACCCTGGGGACACACCACTGCTCTGTGACCCTTCTCTGCCAGGACACAGGCAGAGCTGGGCAGCCAGCCACTGCCTGGCACAGAGGGTCCTGGAGACACATAGTGGGAGAGGATGTGAGACAACCAACCAAGCCACTGTCACTTGACACATGAGGTGGCACCAGCCTGGCAAATGTCCAGCTGGTAAGTCTGGAGCTAAACAAAGCCGGTGTTATTTATACTTATGTAGGACAGGATGATTAATGCCCAGGCCTTTGCCATTCCAAATAAGTCAGACAATTAGGGAGCTGACTTTGTTTACTAGTAGCTTGGCATAAGGGAATGTATATGCCCAGCCCAAATATCTCCCCAGCCCCATGTGCACCCACATGTGCCACTGCGATGCACTCCTGACCTGGCCATCTCAGGGCAGCTCAGGGACAGCAGGCCGCCAGCGTGATGCTCTTGGATGGAACACAGGGCTTTGGCAGGGTCCCCAAATGCAGGTGTTGCCCCTCCTGCCTTCCTGGCGCAAAGTAGCCATCATTTTGCACTGCCAAGCACCTTCTCCTTCCCCTGGGTGCCCGTGGGTTCTAGGAAGAGAACAGAGCCTTGGCATGAGAGGGGTATTTGCAGGGCTTTGCACAACTGTCTGGGGAGGACACTGGGCAGTGAACTCATTGGGAGCAGTTGTGATGCTACAAAACACACAGGGCTGACTTTTTGGCACTGCTTGTATATCCGAAGCTGCAGACTGGTACCCAGAAAGGTTTCCAGAGAGATTCTCCCAGGAAATCAAACACCTAACCTGCTTGGATCCCTAGGGACATCTACCTGTGTTACCCTGATCTGAAGTCCCTGACACTGTGGCTATCATTATGCTTTATGTGCTCCAGCAGAAAATAAACATCTCATTTTCTGCACGTGCCTCTGTCTGTTTCACAAGGTATTTATTGTTTGTGCTGCATAAAGATGGTGGAAGCACAAGCAGGAAGTAGGATCCTGTTGTGCCAGGTGCCGCACAAAGTGCTGCAATGACTCCTGCCTTTAAGAGCTGATGAAACTCATCACACCTACGCTGTGTATGGTGAGGCTGAGTATCCCCCGCCCTCAGGGCACGGGTCATTTGCCTTCAGGCAAAGAGGGTGAATAATGTTACCACATCAGAATGAACAGCGTAACCCAGGTAGAAATAATTCCTCAGGCTAAGAGGAAGCAGAAGATTATTGCTGTGGAGGGCAAAACGTGGCCCTGGAGTCCTCCTGGGGCAGCACAGTCTCCTCACATCCGCAGTGAATAGCAGTGGAGGATATGGGATCAGCTGGCTCTCCTCTGGGCCAGGCTGCAGCCTGTTACCAAGCCAACCAGAGTCCCTTGCGCTCCCCAAACGGCTGCAAACAATAAGCCCAGCTCGCCTCCCCCATCCCTCAGCTGTACCAGGCTGAGCACGTCTGATATCAGAAATGGAGAGGTCTGGAGAAAGCCCACAGGTTGTGGGCAAGCTGAGCGGTCAGGGTGCTGCAAGATCTGAAGGATGCTCAACTCCTGCAGCATCCTAGCATCCTGGGAACCATCTTGGTGTCTGTATCTACCCTGTGAGTGTCCAAGAGAGACCCTGCAAGGGACGGAGCCACCTGGGAGCTGCAGCCCCAGGTCCCTGACCTGCCCAGAGCACTCTAGAATACCATTTGCTGTTTGCAAAAGGTCTGTTTGTGACCATGTGACAAAGGCACTAGTGCATACTCTGTCTCCTGCAAAATGCCAGATTCAATAATAAACAGTGACAAGGCACTATGTGATGCTGCCTCTTTTTATAGCACCTATCCTGTGAGATTTTTTGGGGGGTTATGCAGCCCACTGGAGAAAGGCAATCTAGCCCAGCACAACTGTGAAAAACTGGGTATTTTTATCTCTGCTGACCAGACGGAGCACAGAGGCACCTGGCACGGCTGGGGTCACACAAGGCTTCATGGCTGGGAACCAGTGAAAAACATGTCAGAAACACTGCCTATCCCTGAGCCCACAGGGAGGTATTGCTGTTCAGCATTTGAGCGCTGTCTGCTGCTGTGTGGTCTTCCCCAAAGGCAGAATTACCTGCATGGCTCATGCCAAATCAGTTTTCCTTGGGAGGTATGTGTGGATCTGCTCTCCTTGGAAAACATCATCTGTGCACAGAAACCCACTGCTCGCAATCCTGATATCCAATCCCTTCCTGGGATACTGGAGATGGCATTCTGAAACACAGAGATAGATAGGTCTGATAGATCTTGCTTGTGAGGCGCTGCCCCCAGCCTGCACGGCCAGGGCAAAGCCTTGCACATCTGTTCTGATGCTAGCACATCACTGAACATATTTTCACTCACATCTTCCTTATAATTCCCTTTCATTTTCTCACATTCCCATATCATTTCCCTCACATTCCTCTCATGTTTCCATCATTTTCCTTGTATCTTCCCATCGCATTTCATTCACAGTTCTTTCCTTCACATTTGCCTCATACCTTCATTTTCCTCACATTTATATTGTTGCCCTAACATTTTTCTGTCATTTCCTTCACATTTCTCGTTTCTTTCCTTCTCATTTTATTTAATTTCCATATGTTGTCTCCCAAATTTCCCTGTCAATTCCCTCACCACTTTTCTTCACATTCTTTGGTTTATTTCCTTCAAATTTCCATTTCCACTTTTTTTTCCATTCATAATTCCACTTCCTTCACATTTTCCTCCAGTTCGCCAATTCCTTCAAGCTTCCCTCACATTTTCCTCATTCACCTCATATTTCCATCATTCCCTTCACATTTCCTTCCTTCTCATTTTCCTATTTCCTCCTATTTTCATTCATGTTTCCCTCACATTTCTTTCCATTTCCCTCACAGTCCCTCATTATTTCTGCTATTTCTGTTGTACTTTCCTTCACGTTCCCCTCACATATTGCATTCCTGTTTCTCTCATTTCTTTCCTTCCCACTTTCCTACTTCCCCATCTTTTCTCACATTTCCCAGCAATTTCCTCACATTCCCCTCACATTTCCCTATTTCCTCATTTTTTTCTCTCGCATTTCTGTCCTTGTTTCTTTCCCTCACATTTCTCTACTCTGCCATCTCTATTTCCCTCACATTCCCCCCATTTTTTTTGCCACTTCCCTCCAATTTTACCTTCCCGCTCCCCTCTCATTTCTTTACCTACGTCCCCCACATTCTCTCACACCCTTCCTGCTCATCCCGCACAACGGCAGCGCGCACACCGCCAACCCGCCCGCCCCGCGGGCCGAGGCGGCCTAACGCCACACTCAACATGGCGGCGCGCCACACCCAAGATGGCGGCGGCGGGAGGGAAGAGGCGAGCGGGGCGGCTCAAGATGGCTCCCGGCGGGGCGAAGGGAGATGGCGGCCGCCGCGCACGCGCGGCGCGTCACGCCGCAGCACGTCACGCTCCGTGCCGTGACGTACCGTGCGTGCGCGGCGCGCGGTGACGGAGCGGGTCGGCCGCGTCTCTTTGTTGGCGCTGAGGCGGCCGAGGCGCGGCGGGGCCGGGAGTGAGGGTGGGGGGCGGGCGGGAGCCTCCAGTTCACCGCCTCGCCATGGACTCGGACGAGGGCTACAACTACGAGTTCGACGAGGACGAGGAGTGCAGCGAGGACAGCGGCGCGGAGGAGGACGACGAGGACGACGAAGAGGACGAGCCCGACGATAACCTGGACCTGGGCGAGGTGGAGCTGGTGGAGCCCGGCCTGCGCGTCGGCGGCGAGCGGGACGGGCTGCTGGGCGGCGAGACGGGCGGGCTGGGCCCGGGCGGCGGCGGAGGGCTGGGCGGCGGGCCGGGCCCCGGCGGCGGCGGCGGCCCCGAGCAGGAGGAGGACTACCGCTACGAGGTGCTGACGGCAGAGCAGATCCTGCAGCACATGGTGGAGTGCATCCGCGAGGTCAACGAAGTCATCCAGGTGCGGCTCCGCTCCGTCGGGGCGCTGCGGGCGGGCGCCGGGGCCGGGCGGCGGTTGCGGGCGGTGGAACGCGGCTCCGGCCCTCCGCCCCGCCGCCCGGGCGGTTGGGGTGCCGGCGGCCCCTCCGAGCTCCTACTTCTAGCCCTATTTCTGGGCGCTTGGCTTTAGGCGTTGAGTTGAGACAAACGGCGTCGCTGCCTTACGGTAAAACCGGCCCGGCTGCGGAGCCCCGCGCTGGGGAGAAATGCGAGACTCCGGGCCCGGCACGCCTCCCCGGCGCACGCAGCTCTCTGCGGCCGTCCGCTTTTCCTGCGCTTTCCTTTTGTTCGGGTTGACGCGGTGTTGCTCGCAGGCCCGGCGAGCGGATTGCCGGCGCTGCTCCTTGTCCAGGAATGTGGTGCGGAGCGGTGTGGGGGGGGATCGAATTCACTGTGTTAACTCGCGGCCGCGGCGCCCCCAAACCGGGCGCTTCCAGTGCTAAATGCGAGCTGCTCCGGCGAGTGGTGCTGACCGGCGTGCGGCTGCTTTAACGGCTTTAAAGTGTTACGTGCTGTAAAGCGAGTTTATGGGAGCTTGGTGCAAACAACAGCCCCGGTGCTCACGTAGGAAATTGGTAAACGGCACTTCCGAAGTCAAAGTTCATAACTTTAATAATAGCTGTGTGTGCGTGGGACTGTGTAGAGACTTCTTGCCGATTGCCAGCGTGCAGCTAAGGAAGATCTCCTGGTCGTGGATGGATATTTCTGTGCTCCCAGGATCCTGACGTGTTATTGATCTTAATGTAGGGAAATGAAGACTTGCAAACAGGAAGCAGACATGCAAACATTTGGTAACTTGAAGTTTTTCGCACTGAGGTAGTGATTAAGGTGGTGACTATTTAATGAGTAAGGCTGTGATAATCACAAGCTGTGTTGGACAGGCGCAACCGTTTGACCTGCGTTTGCTTAAGTGAAGTGATGGAAATGTTCTCCCAGTGAGGAGTGCTGAGCAGGATCCTGTTCATGTGTTTCCTAAGTCTGGTGGATTCACCTGCGGGTTCTTTAGGAGCTGACTTATTAAACAAGCTCCTGTTTTCTGGCCTGTGGTTTCTCTTCTTCTTTATGCTGCCCCTGAGCTGTGCAACCTGAGTGCTTGGCCTCAGTATAGCAGAACTAGTGACCAGAAGTCGATAAAGGTGAAAGGACCCTTTTCTTTTTGTACCCGGGGAGGCGTGACCCTGCTGCAGCTGGCTCTGTGGGATTCTGCAGGACGTAGCTGATCTGCAGAACTGCCTTGGCTGCAGCTGTAGATCTTGCTGTTGGATTTGCTGTAGTTATTTCTGGTTTAGAAGAGTGAACAAAGCCAATTTGTTTAGAATGTCACGAGTAAACCTGGGACCTAACGTCAGCTTAGGCACCACGATGCATTGGAAGAGGGTAGAAAAACATTCAGTTGTTCCAAACTCCTTTGAAATGGCACCTTACTTCTACTTCTAGTCCGTCTGGAGGTAAGTGGACCTAATTCAGTTAGTGCTTCAGTATTTGCTCATCCTCACTTCTCTTGCTTGCTGTGAAATCTTCCAGGGCTCTGTTCTGTATATTTCTTTCTTTTGGCTCCCACCCAAGATTGCTGCTGTTGCTTTTCTGGTTCACTAAACCTTTTCTGGAGTCACATTGGCTCAGGATCCTGCTGCAGATCCTTGGTAGCAGCCCTGTGATTCACTTGTTCCAGTCTAGGACTGAGTGGCCGGTCCATGTGTATCTCACTTTGGTTCTTGTTATCAAATGGTAAAGCTGTGGCTGTCTGTTGTGGTGCTTGGGAACTTGCTTGCTGCCGAGGCGCCAGATACCTGGAGGCTTTGGCTGTGGGGCGTGTGCCCTCTCATCAGTGGCACTACCGGTTTCTGGTCAGAAGTAATTAATAAAGCAGGCTTTTGTTTTTCAGTTGATCACTTTGCAGTTGCAATGAGAAGGAAAGGTATCAGCGAGCCTTGAAGCATCTGCAAGGAAGCCACAGCAGATGTAACTTGCATGTGTAGGGTGCCCTTGTCCTGCAGAAAACGCAGTCCTGCAAGAGCTCTTCACTGGCTGGGAGAAGTACTAGTAGAAGGAGTTGAATTTATTTGCCCATCCATTTTGCTGCTTCCCAAATGCAAGCTGTGCAAGAAAAGCATGAAGTTCTGAGGACAGGGATTTGATGTGATGAAGACTTTGCTGAGGCTGTAGCTGACTTGTGATCAACTTCCTGGCTGCAGAGCGTGTAATTTGTGCTGTTAGTGTGTAATGAAAACGGCTGCTCAGCACCAAACTGGTGCCTTTTTGTCCTGTGGCCTCCAAAGACCGCTGAACTCGCAGCGAGCTCGGGCAGTTTCAGTGTGAGTGACTCAGATGTTCAGCATATTTTGCATTCGCTTTCTTTTCTCAGGGTGTGAGTTTTCAGGTGTTTAATGATGATTTTTGCAAAGTATTTAACATTTATGCTGATAACTTGATTTGATTCTGCATCTCACACTCTTCTCCAAGTGCGAAAATAGGGATGTTAATACACCCCTAACCTTGTGCTGTGGGTTAAGAGAGACTTCAAAACTCCACCTCAAATCTGAGCATTGCTTTCTTTAAATTACACAGCGTGGAGAAACATTCCATGGGTTGCTTAGGGTTTTGTTGTCTGAGTAAGTGGGCAGATTTCTGGCATCTTTATCCAAGTAAATGGGCGTCTTTTGTCCAGCTGCTGGCAGAATAACTTAACTGTGAAAACCTCGATGTAAAGGTGGTATGAAAAGGCTTCCTCTTCTGAGAGGTATCTTCCCTCAGTTGGATGCTTTCCCTGTATTTTTCCTCTCCAAACTTGGGGATGAGGGATTGTCCAAAAAGTTTCTACCATCAGTACATCTTCATATATATATATCACTGCTATTTCAATCTTTGCTGTAGATTTTCTGAAAATAAACTTGGTAGTGTTCGGAATAGCACGTTTATTTCTACTCTGAATAGAGCACGTGATGCTTAGTGCCTCTCTAGTCCTGCTTGGCTCTGCGTTTTTGCCCTGTTACAAGCTTGTGCAATTTTGGTATTTGTGAGTTGCGTTCGTTTTCCCTTTTGGCCGCCCTTTTCTGCAGGCTTTGGCGTTGTTGTGATGTCCCTTGACAACGTGTGTTCCTTCTGGACTTTGTCACGGTGAAGTGTTGAAAGTGATCAGGGTGCAGCTCTGAGGTGGCTGGGATTTAAAACAAAATTCTGCGATGTCGGAATTTCTGTGCTGAATGTTTGTTGCCATTTAAAGGATATTGCTTTGGAAATAAGCGTCCTTGCTGGATAAAAGTGTTGATGTGAAATGAGTCCAAACCAGCGGACCGCTCTGAAGTTACAACATTGTGCTTGTTTGGCTTGGTAAGGAGCAGATGCCCCAAACGCTGCTCTGCGGCTAAATCCATCTCTGTTACAGCAAGCTGAATCCAGTGTGGCTCGGGAAAAGCGATCTAATTAAACACTGGCCTCACTTGCTTGGACAGAAAGTGCTGAATTCCAGTTATAGCTGAGGAAGTCTCCCCAGCAGTGGTGTAATGCAGTGCTATTGGCAACGTGTCAAAATATGTTGTCCGAAATAGGAATGACTTCCCAGTGAGCAACAAGAATCGCTCCTGTCATGCAGGGCTGTGCTGAAGACTGTATTTAATGTTAGAAATGTCATCTTGAGCCACCCTGACTGCTTGAAGCTGCTTGACAAGCATTAGGTAGGAGGCCGTGGGAGGAAAGCACTGGAGGCTGATGCTGCTCGTGTTCGGGTCTGTTGCTCTGCCTGCACCAGGTGAGCTTGCCAGCCTCTGCCTTCTCATTCTGTGTGGTTAGTTATTGATGATTAAATCCAGTTGGGACCCTAAATGTTATGATGCTGGAAGGAAGTGCGTTGTTAAACTCCACGGTGCTGTCACACGGCGTTTATAAGGTGTTTCATTATTGGAGGAATGTGTTCAGTGTTTCCAAGGAACGGAATAAACTTCATTGTGACAAAGAGCTCCTGAAATCTGCTACAAGTCATCACTGTGAGGCTTTTGGAAATGACATTATCTGTTCCCTGGCTGCCAATTCATGTAATTCTGAATATAATAACTTTTTTTTAGATCTAATATAAATTTCAAAACGTCAAGGTAGAAAAGCCTGTTCTATCTGGGAAGTCTCCAGAGTAAGCTAAACCTCGTGCTTCAATGGCCCGTTGGCTTCATGCTTTAGCTTTCTGTTTCTCTTAGGCCAGATGTAAATCTCATGGCTGGCCATGAGTGAAAGCTGATGCCGGGCTGCTCTGTTCCCCCAGCACTGTGCAGAAATGGCAACAAAGCGGGCAGCTCTGATGGGCCTGTGGCTGCAGGGTGGACTGG